ACATTGTATACATTATTATTGCCATCTAGTATACTGTCTGGCCATTCGGTATAATGTTTCACCCACCCTACAAAATAGAATAGATATTAGTCTGGCTTTAGTATAGCTTATCGCCATTTGCTCTAAAACATAAAACACCAAACATGTACCAAAATGTGTACATCTAATTAATGTAAATAGACCGTTCTTGAGCCTCAATCAAGAGTAAGTGAGAATAAAATAAAATTCAAAGTAATTAAAAGAAGAATTACCTTTTGCTTTTGTCACTTCAGGTTTTGACGCTTTTACCGGAAGAAAGTCGCGTTTGCTTTGATAATCGCTGTAATTGCTTCCCTTTGTAGGATAATTGGACCGTAAAAAGACCTTGTACAGCAGCGTAACCCGTGAATCCAAGAAATCTAGCCGAACTAATAATAAACAAAATTCGCCTTTTTAGTAGCATAATCCCCTTTATCCCTTTCTAATTAATCACCCACACTACACAAATACACTCACCTTTAATATCGACAGTAACCGTAGTTACCGGCACAAGTCCTTTAGATATCCACAAAAGAGATCTGATTGCCTCTAAGAAAGCTCTACTTCAGACCATACGCATTTTCCCACTTGAAAATCAATAGAACAGATAGGCGTAACAGTATGTTAATTAGCTATTGCTAAAAGGAAATAAAGTTTTTCGTAATTGTTCTAAATTAATATACTAAATTGGATATTGTTTGTTTTAGGTGCAAAAAGTTCTGTTATGTATATACAGTCAGTGACAAAAAAACTTAATTTAGAACGTCCTGTTACAATTTCACGTAGATCGCATTAAAACATGATCAAGATATTGTTTGAAAGCTCGAAAGCAGTAGATTTTATTCTTACAAATTTAATACGCAATTCTTTCACCTTTATTCTCAATAATTAATTAACAACGACGTGGCATTGAATTTATTAAATTTTTTCATGTATCATTTGGCAATAATTCCATTCCTCCATTATAAATTGTTCCAATTCGTTTAAATTTTGCGGCATTCGTTTTTCTACTTCACGTTTAACAATTGCCCATAGGTTTTCGATAGGATTTAGATCCCGACTCGATGACGGCCAATCGATAACTTCGGATACATTTTCCGCAAGAAACTTCTTAGTTTTACCGCTTGTATGCTTAGGATCGTTATCTTGCTGGAAACGCCACTTCTCCCAAGCATCTTTTTGATTTCCCCAACATGTTGCTGCAGAATTTCGACGTAAAAGTCAGCATTCATTAATACCCTGAAAGCAGTTTATCCCTTCGCGCGGAAGCCACCCCACGCGAAAATTTTTGAACGGTTTTTTGTTGGACGGACTGGCCTTTTACCCTTATACCAATGATTAATTTGTATTTGGAATAGTTGGAATGCCGTTTCATCGGAAAATAAGGTTTTTCCACTCATCGTTAAGATGACGTTCGGCTCATTGTATACGTTTCTTTTTTTGAACTGTTGTTAACCTCGGCGTAGCATTTGGTCGATTTTTTTATATCCATTTGATTTTAAATGTCTTCCAATTGTACGATATGAAATGTCTACCTCGGTACTTAGTTTAGTAGCAATTTTTCATAGGGACATAGAAGAAGTTTCATGAATATATTGACCCACCTTTTTTGATACAACCGCAGTAATTTTGTTAGGACGTCCATTACCACCTTTGTGCTGAATTGTTCCGGTTGACTCTAATTTTTTTGCATTGTAGATTGCTAGGCCTGTAAGTCTACTTAATTATGTTTGTGTGCCAGCAGTATAATAGTTTTGTTTTTCTTTTCTTCGAAGATGTTCCATCTCTGATGAGATGGATAATCCAAATAATTCTGCATTAAGAATAGTTACAAAGTTTTTTTGTCATATTTTTTATAGAAATGTAGAATGATGGCGTGGTGTCACAAGATTATCACATGTAGATGAGCATGTCGGAAAAAGGTATGGGTTCTTTAACGTAATTAATGAATTTTGATAACACCAGTTACAGTAAATGCAGAATTCTTTCTTCGTGTGAGTTTTATTACAGGAAAATTAAGGTTTTATCGGATCATATAGAGGTTTAAATTTTTAGAATTTTACTAAATGGGGTTTACTATAGCGTGAGTTTACTGTATCAAGCGAATGTCTCATACGAACCTTTTTTTGTCTTTATTGAACCTTGCTATCTGATATGTAGATAAAATGTGGGAAACTTTGTCATCAAAATTTGGAAATTATGCACGGCGTAAATCAGTAGGTGGCAAAACACATACTTTCATAAAGGTAAAGAGACAATATTTTAGAATTATTTAAAAAGACAACCTCTTCCTAAAAATTCAATTCCTCACAATTATTTATCATGTCAAATATAGACCTACGTAAAGTAACGACATTTAATTTCGTCAAAGAATCCCAAGATCTTCTCCTCAATATAAGACGAGAAACGAATACAACTGGCAGAAATGACAGTGTTTATGATGACCTGGTAAATGCCTTAAAGGCAGTAAAAAAATATAAAGAAGAGATTGAAAGTCTAATGAAAAATATAGACTTACGTAAAATAAAGACACCTAATTTCGTTAAAGAATCCCAAGATCTTCTCCTCGATATAAGACGAGAGACGAATACAACTGGAAAAAATAACAGCGTCTATGATGACCTAGTAAATGTCTTAAAGGCAATACAAAAATATAAAGAACAGATTGAAAGTATAAAGAAAATTGTACAAAGTTAATGATCGCGTGATATTCCTTGCTGATGTTCAGTTGTAATTAGTACTTTTATATAATATTATTGGTTGACATACGCATACCGATACTGTTTTATTAATTTGAATTCTAATCCAATTCCATCGGAAAAGTTTAAATTTATCAACATATATATTTTATCTCAAATTTTCTTTTTACTTGTTATTACTATTTTGACATGCTTGTAAAATTCGTATTGCATTCATAAAATGTCACATAATTCACAAAATTTGATAAAATTCATATACATATGCATGTATATTACACACAAAATTTGATTTATGCACATAATTTTATAAATCTTGTAAATGAATCTATATCATTTTTAGCAAAAAAGGAGTTAATTATAATTTTATAATCACATAAAAAGGAATGAGAAGTTAATTTATAGAATCGTGTAAAAAAGGCGCGAGAAGTTAACTTATAGGATTATGTAAAAAAAGGGAATAAATAAGTTTTTCATATTAAAAATCAAATATTCAAAATGAAAGTCAAACAATAACAGCTAATACATGACTCAAAAATGATCCTGAAGTATTTCGTGTTGATAATAGTTTGCTTTTTTTGCAACTATTGCAATCTTTTGTAGAATGGAAACATAAATCAACAATAGATGCACATTGCGCAAGTAAAAAACATATATCACAAAAATTTTTGAACCAAATTAACAGATTAAACATTACAAACTACTTTGCATGCGGCAATCTCAAAAAAGCAGTAATAAAAATCTTAATCGAAGCATTTACGTAAGTGGGGGGGGCATTTATTGTGTATTAGAACTTGATGAGAGTATGAATGAAAACGAATTATACATGTATATTGGAATAATTTAGCAAATCATTTAGCTTTATATAGTTTACTTTTATTAGATAGTGACCATCGAAATAATCATTTAATCAACTTAATATGTATATTTTAATCTAGATAGTTGAGATTTTTTTCAATAGTCATGGTATGCATATTTGTTCATATTGTAATAATCAAGTTTACTATTAAAAAGAATTGAGCACAACACATAATAATAATAATAATATCATAAGTTCCATAAAAAGACCGTAAAATTCCCAAAACTTATTTGCCTTATACCGCCACAAAATAATCATACATTTATTATAGATTCGGATAAATTACAGTGAAATTCTCATCTGCTTTCAAGTTTTGATTTAGCATATTTGATAAATTCAACGAATTAAGTGGCATAAAAATTTATATGAAACGGTATCATTTAAATATAACGATAATTGCTAATATTGAAACTGCATTGTTGCGTTAAATGGATAGTTATAAGAAAAAGTTGCAAATAAACCTGGCAGAACTTAAAAGACAAGTGATTCTTGTTAATTTACTATAATTATATATCGAGAAAAAATATTGCATAAATTAACTCTATCAAATGAAAGTTTAATAATGATTTGAGAAATGCTACTATACCGAGAGCTTTACTATATAATGGCTACTTGTATAAATCAATATCTGACATTTTAATACTCGTATTATATCTAGTAAACGCGGAAAATATTGTGCCATTCTGATAAGCATCGTCAATAACATGAAAAATGATGTATTTAATGCGTCATATAATAAATAATTATAAAATTCATTTTTTAACTGTTTATTCATAAAAAAGAGTCATTTCTTTAATTATTAAATGTCATTTACATGTATTTTATTAATCACTTATTACATGTACTCACATACTGGGACGACAAAGAATGTGAATTTAAAAAATTTATAATCATATGAGTCAAATCTCCTATACTTAATCGTACGTAGATAAATGTTACTGAAACTGAAAAAGGATGTGATTGTAGAAAAGATGTGATTATACATTGTACATGTATATTGCCATGATTGTGAAGAGAGTACAATTGTACATGTACAAGTACATGTAACGAGATATGAAACAATCGATCAATTACGCTAATATTATAAACCCTTTTTGATAAAAATGATCCGAAATCTTCGAATTTTTATAATTAAAGAAATTGGGTCAAGACTCAAACTTAATTTGTTCAGTGAAAACATATTTGGTTTTAGAAAAATCATATATGAAATCTAAAGAGTCGTACATTGTATTTAAGCCATTGTTGCAGCTTTTTCATTTACAAGCAACTTCTTTTTTTTGATAAAAATGATTTTTCCCTCTCATGAAGGATGCAATTTTACCAATCATTATTCCGAATTCGTGATAATAGGGGTACATGGATGGGTTCATTCATCATTATCGCCATTTTCAAAAACAACGTCAACGTCACATATACTCATGACCAGAATGGAATCCGCTATTAGAACACTCTTGAACCATAAACTCAATATCACCCTAATTGAATTGAATAAAATTGCCAAAATCAGTGAACGTGTTTGTTACTATACCGAACAATTTGAACAAAATGATGAATGGAAACACGCCTTGATGAATGCCCATATGGTTTTGTTCGTTGCACATTCTCAAGGTTGTCCGACTAGTGTTATCTTGGCTAAAGAACTTCACGAAAAGAACCTTTTAGATCCAAAGAAACATCAAGTCAACTTTTTATTATTTGCTGGTGTAAATATGGGTCCGGATGAGAGATGTCGCAAATATCCTCTTGATGAGGCTGGTGAGGAATTATTCGAATTTCAAGATTATTGGAAACCTATTGCTCAACAATATAGAAAAGCTACGGAATTTTGGCTAGAAAATGGTTCAAAAATTGCTTATTCGGCAGGCATAAATGATGGTGTAGTTCCAGTAAGTTCGTTTAATATATATATCGATATATATATCTTTTATTTGAAAATCATTAAACTTACATTACTGTATGTATTATCGTTATAAACTCAGTTATATTCAGCTCTGTTTACAGATGTTGAACATCAATCTATCTATCGAGAAATATACATTAAAGATACGGACAACTCATGCGAGTACCTCAAATCCTTGGTTAAATTTTTTGTTCTCTGCAGGAATAATCAATTGCACGATCATTATATCTTAGGATTTATAAGCGATTGTTTTAACGGTGGTTTCAAAATAGAACATAGTGATATTTATTCAGATGATGATGCTTACATGTAAGTCTCTAAAGGTTATCAATATTTGTAAACATTTTACGAGTAATGCTCTTTTAAACCTCTTTAGCAATGCCCTTCGCCATTTTTTTGGTGCAAATACATCTAATTCTGTGTGGAATTTTTCTTTTGAGCTCTTTTTCCCAAAAACGTATCCCAAAACTAAATGGCATCAATGGCATCGTTTCCAAAAGAATGCGCGCGATAAATGGATTCAGTGTTTCATTA